AAGTGTATCACGTTTGAGCTCCGAAACATTCTCAGCTTCCCGGGAAGCATACAGTGCGAGCAGCCGATTAAGCGCTCAAACACTAACAAACTGACAAGATCTTTCGCTGTCTATAGCCGGGTACCCATTCCCACCAGGGTGAAGTGAGGAAAATTCGTGTAAAGTGCCTTTCCCAAGGACACAACGTCGGGCCCTTGACGGGATTCGAACCCACGACCTTACGGTTGCGAGTCCGAGAGCCTAACCACTAAGCCTAAACACTGTAACCTCTAGACCACGACAGCCCCCTGACATTTTGTGAAACCCCAATTTTGGAAGTAAAATTTCTCTAAACAAGGTACTGAGTCGATATAACTTTGTAATTCTAAGGTAGCGGTCTTTCTACTGTACATCAGACTCTTTCAAAATCTTGCTTTAGAAAAAAAAACTCACGTGTTTGCCCATTTTGCTTTTCGCGAACGATTTGAACGTCTGATTTGAGTCGCTCAGTGTCATAACGTTATTATTTTGCGTGGCATCTTGGTGAAATCAGGCGCTGTTAGACGCTTGGCTGTTGCGCGCGAGAGACCCGAGTTTGATTCCCAAGAGGGGAGCGGAGAAATGTTTATGGAGTATCTTTCTCTTTCTCTTGGGATGTTTTATTCCTCTCAGCCCAGGTTGGCACTGACAGGCAGGGTCGGAAGCCAGATTCTTAAATTTGTAATGCTCTAAATTGTGCCGATGATGGCGTAAAACAACTTACATTAAAAAAAAAACAACAATAAAAAAACAAAAAAACAAATAGACCTAGACAATTTGGAGAAAAGACCAAAATGAACGTCTTGTTTCTCCAGGTGACTTTATTAATATTATGTTTTTCTTGCCACACTTTCCACCCAGGTCTGTACACAGAGTCCCATGGCATTGTGGCCAACCACATGTACGACCCAGATTTTGATGCCTTCTTTAACCCAGGCAACTCCGAGCCACGTTGGTGGGATGGAGGAGAGCCAATCTGGATAACAGCAGTCAAAGCTGGGCTCAAAGCAGGTGAGCATCGGGTTGCTATCAGAATACTGATTTTGTATATATATATATCTCTAGCTTAACACGATTATATTGTTAACAATATTGTTCATTTTTTAATATTGTGTGACTGCGTCTGTTTGTGAGTGCAAATATACTAGTATGTGTACGCGTATAGAGGTGTGTGGATGAGAGGATTTCCATGGATACGGCGGTCATATTGGATTTTGTTGACATGTGCTATATAATGAATACTGCGCTTATCGTTCATGGAAATTGATTGTTTTTTTAGCATGCATGTTAGCAAACATTAGATCCAAAATTTGAGTGTTGATTTTTTCCTAAACGAATTAGAAAATTTTTATCGATTTTTTTCCTGAGGTAGATCTAGTATTCAAGTTTGCAAAAAATCCGTGAAAATTCACACTCCAGACACCACCACCAAAAATCTATTCCTTTTATATCAAACATTCAACAAACCATGTTTTAGTATTACATCTTCTCTTCATTCTTTCAAAATGTCATTAAGATTGGATGAAAAAAGTTGGAGTTATTTAAAAAGTATAGAGAAAAATCGCGTTTTGAGAAAATGGCCGATAAAGAAAAAAAATATTGACTTTATGACAAAATGGTGGTGACAAACATGCCGGTATTGGAAGAAATAAGGCTTTTGGGGGTTGTTTTATGCAATGGAATAGTTGTAGGAGAGGCTGAGGAAGTTGAAAATGCCCACAACTCAAATTCCTTAATTTTAAGCCGAAATGGGACTTTGGGGGTGTAGCCCACCCCCACTCTCCCCCTTAAAGGATTGCTTTCGAATAAGCTTGGCATATTGTTTGTTTTTGGTAAGTGGTTTACGGCGCTCACAACTGCCCATTAAACATTTTCAGCTTTTTTTGGAATTAATTTTGAATTTTTGCTCGGGTGGCAGTTGAAGCTTACTCTTATCGATTTTGGACCACCAAGGGATCTTTAACGTGCGCAACATGCACATGAGAACTCAGAAATGTTTCGCCTTTATCCGAGAAGGGTAGGTGTTACATCTTACCTACCCTAAGAACAGGGGTGTGGCTGAAAGACAGCAGTAACAAGGAGCCAAGGAGCGGCAGTAAAAAGGCTGCAGAAGGAGTCAGGAGCCCAGAGGAAGGGGG